GTTTTAAACTACATCCTCAGCAAATTAAAAAAAAAAATGTCTACTTAAACATTAAGCAGTTAATCAACTCGGCGAAGTTAAGTGAGATCGTTATTTAAATACACGTTATTCATTATATCGGAACATATGGCGGCACTGTTTCAATTTGGTCGGATGAAATATCGATTTAAACTTCAATTAAATTCCCGCCACTTGTCTTCTTAAGCGGCCGCGGTTTGACAGTCAATCGAGCTATCGAATACGAGAGATAAACGTTCCCCTGTCATTATAATTATTATGTTCAAAAGGGTAGTTTTTTTTTTGTCTACTTTGCCCTATGATCCGACGGGCTGACGTAATAAAACTTTTATACTCCATATAAAAGTCGTTTCCGCAAAAACTCGTTCGGGAGCTGCAAAATAATCCTAGATCTAGACACAGTTTGTTGTGAATAATAAAAATTTTATAGCCGGTGTTATGGATAAAGCTTGTAATAAGTTTTTCTATAATTAAAAATAAAATCGCAATATTCCTACGCTATAATATTCGCCAAGGCGATAATGGGTGCTTCGATGGGAAAAAAAGGGAACGGTATATAGTGTTCCAGCTATTAGTTTACAGCCGCTAGTTAATTATTGAAGTATTACAAAACACTCTGCATGTTTTATTAATTTTGTAAAATGAGCAGAGAGGATTGAATTAGATTCCCGTATGATTCTTCTTAACTAAAATTAAGGAAAACCTTATGCTCAAAAATATTTTCTTTATTTTATGTTTTATAAATATTAGATAAAATAATCCAGTGGGCTGTTATTTATTCTTGATATGTTTCTTATTATTGCTTTATTTGACATTGTTCACTTAGTTTCAATATAAAATAAAACTAATTTAATCACACTACACTACTATAATAAGAATTTTAACTCGATAATGGTGAACTACACTAATGTAGAGATATGCATTTCATGTACAGGCAATTAAAATTCCTCGAAAGCTTGTCGTTTTTATACACAAATGTATCCTAATCGTAGTCCTCCTCATCACAGCTTGTTTACAAGGCTTCATTAAAGGCAACATGAATCTGAAAGTTTCGAGAAAAGGAGTTATGGTATCGGCCTTTTACAGTCATTTCGGCTTAAATGTGCTAACATTTTTAAATCGTACATGGATAAGAAGAGGTGAGCTTTATTATTAGGTTCATTAGTTTAATTGTTAAATTATTTTTCTATAAATTTTTTTTCACATGCAATGCCTACATTCTATTTTATGGTTTGCAAACTTCAAGTTTTATGAAAAAAATCCAGAGGACTAAAAGGTTCCCAATATATTAATTTTTATTGTTATTACGAAAGTATTTATTTAAATTTAGTGAATAATATATAGGGGTAGTTTAATTCAATCTGTCCATTTAATTTTAAAAAATTAAAAAATGCATGTGTGTTTTTATAATGTTAATACTTCCGCAATAATTCCTTGTTTCATTTATTTTCGTTTTTAAGTTAAAATATAAAAACATAAATTTTCCTTCTTATTTATATCGCTATATCGCACTAATATGTGGCTTTTGATCCTACGTTTATATAACAAACCACCCTTTATTTTAAACAAGAAATCACTAACTTAAGTTTTGAAACACCCTGTTCAATGAAAGTAACGTGAATTCGTATACTTACTTTGATGTTAAATCTGAAGGTCATTGAAGGTCGATTATTCATGGCGTTTTTTAGGATAAACAGTAGATAAGACTATTGTTTACAAGATTTTTTGACTTAATACACCAGTTTTAAAATTAGCGGTTGTGCCTTTTTAATCTCAATAATTCTCAATAATTATTCTTATTTATTCACATTTATTCATATTTAATTCATCCTTATTCAGTTAGTTCGACGACATGTTGCTTATTTTATAATATATTTTTTCTTGGTTTAAAACATAGGCTCCGAAATAGGGATGTATTGTACTGTATAGATGTTCAAAAAAGTCAATTACAATTTTGAGGTGAATCGGAATGAAGTGGAAATGTTACCACTGGTTTCCGTAACGTGCCATTGTGTTAGTTGTGTTAAAAATATATTGTCTCGGGTTCCCAATAATTCACAGATACAATATTGGTATATCAGCCACGGTTAAAGTTACGATGAAGTTGAAATTTTACCTAATTTTTATTTTTATTCCCGCTTTTGCATACTACGGTTATTTTTTTTAATCATATAAATTTTAATAAAAGGAAATCCCCGCACAGAGAGTCCGTTTCACGTGATACCGCTATTGCTATCCTTTTTGTAGAAAAAGTATCTTTATTGCTACTTGAGCCATAATAAACGTATAAAATTAGTTTTATCCAAACCTAACAGTTACTATATTGGTAAAAACAAACTATTTTAATCTCTTAAAGTGTGGTATGACTTTGCACTCTTGCAGATTTTCACATTTTTATGTCACCACCCGCAAGTCATAGTTCCAAATTTTATTGAAACCATCAAAGGGTATATCGAGATTGGTGCAAGTTTTCCACGTACACGTAATTGGCAATCAAAGACGCTCGGGTTGTGCACTTTTTCTGTTGTGGCTCCTTAGAGGATCCTCTGGTTCGACGAAAGCAATGACTTTTTACGGCCCTCCTTTATGAACCACGTTGGAAGTGCCTTAAAATAAATATTTAATTATTGAAGACTGCGGCTGCCTTTGTCCAGTGAATCTTGTTTCGATGCCCTAAAATTTTGGTTCTATTTGGAGATGATTTAGAAGTGACTTTTTTTAATGGTTTTTCTTATTAAACTTTAGCGAAAATTGTAAAACAAACATCGGAGGTGATGTGTAGAAAACTGGAAAATGAATCACCAGATATTGGGGTTATTGCAATAGATCGATAGCGTACTTACGTCATTAAAAAAAATATAAGACCGATGCCGGATATTTCCGCCACTGGTTACGGTCAAGGTTTGTGTAAGTCTTTTTTGTTATTTAGTTTTTAAAATATGTAGAAAAATTTAAAAAACTTTTTCACGATCACAGTCCTGCATCTTCTTAACGACGTATCGTAGATAGATACTTTACAATTATGGTTTTAATTGGTGAACGAAAAAAGGGTATATGGAATCAAAAACTGGAGAAATTTGGATCTAATCAAGTTTTCCAAGTTTAATTAAATTCTGCGAAAGCGTTTTTTTGTATGTAAATAAAATTCACTTATTATTACAAATTCTTCACAGAGAATTTTATCTTCTTTTCCATTTTTCTCGGAAATAAATAAATTATAAACAACTTCTCGGAAATAAAATATCCCTCGATACCTTATTCAATTTAACATTTTTAAATGAACAACTCCTGAGGGAAGGAGATAACCGGACGCTAATCAATTGTTGATTATTTCGTAAGTGTTTTAGGCTTCATTATGTAATTATTGTCAAATTATCAAAAATCGATATTTTGAAATAGAAAAAATCACTGGTGGCCACTAATGATAATCGTAAATTTTAATGCTAGCCGTTGCTCAATTGATTGCAAAAAGCTACTGCCCTTGAAGTGCAAATTTGTAAGTTTTCAACATTTTTTTTAGAAATACGAAAAATTTAATAAAAAGAATTCATAAAAATAAATTAGTGGGTCGTGGGTTGCGGTCATCGGAGCTCTTCTTTACTATTACTGGTTGTTAAAAAGTCACACTTCTTTTCTGAAGTCTTGTAGGAAGACGATGCCCAGCGTGTCCAAAATGAGTTTCCCTACAACCTTAACTCAGAAACTATGAATGACAAATTAAAAGTTAAATAGAAAAGTTACATAGTTTCATCTAGATTTTTTTAAGTTTCATTTTACTTATATGCAGCGTGTACCGTTCATATGGAGTAAATATCAAAACAGAACGGAACGGAATGTTGCCATTTGTTCTAGGTATATTTCATGTATAATTACTTATATATAAGTCTATCCGTTTTCAGCAACGCTTGAATTTTATATTAAAAATGACATTTGACTCTGTACAAAGTTCTCCATTCCAGTAATTTATAGTTTCCGATGGTTTAACATTTGTCTGTTGTAAAAATGTGCCTATTAAGTTTTGTTATTAGCCTTTCAAAGTAGAATTACGAGCAAAATTCAATTTCTAAATCGAAGTAGTGCTGTAGGAAACGCAGATACAAATTAGAACTAATAAAGAGAATTTGTGTCGGAGGTCATGGAACAAAGTTTTTTACTTTTATTTATTTTTAAATATTATATATATTATAAAAATTTATAATACTGCTTATATCAGAGCATCTTTCAAATCACTTTCAATCCTTCCAACGATGTTTCATCGGCATTTTTTTCTTTTGTGAATATTTTCTCTTATATCCTCTTGTGGTTAAAGCGGTACATTTGTTGTTTTCCATATAACAATTATATATATAAAAATGTTTAAGTTTTGAACACATTCTCGGTTTGAATGGAAAGAATACGGCGTTTCCCTTAGGAAAAATTGACTTTTCAAGTTTTATATAACTTCATTTGTTATTAATTTACATTCAAATTATCCACTCAGTTAATGACAAAATATTGTAAATTAATAAATTAATTTTAATGTAAATAAAATTGTTAATGACAGATGTCACTTCTAACATAAAATCTAACATTTTTGGAGGACAGTTAGACTTGGACATGAAATATATCTAGAATTTCTCCGGAAACCAAAAAAATCAATAATATATAATATAATATGATATTCAAAATAAGAAAACCGTTATTTACAACAAATGAATGTATTCAACTTTTTTTTTAAATTTACTATGCTCGAAGTCACATCACTTTTGTAGTATTTCGATCAAGCCTGTTTCAAATTTCTCATCCCCCATCGCAGCTTTTCGTAGACCTACAAAGAAATTCTATGGTTTACTATCAAAACATAAATTTAGCTAAGCATGCACTGCGTGTGTTGATTTTTATGGCCTACAGTAAAATTTTACTGATACCCGATAAATCTTGCAAGATAATTAAGATTTTAACGGTTCGATTATGGAGGTAATTATTTCCTGGGCGCTATACAGGGGGTTACGAAAATGTCAGTAAAAATGTTTCCCGTGAACTATTGGAAAAACAGTTAAGTGTGAAAAAAAACGATACCAGTAACGACAATGAAGCGCACGATCGGTGCGATCTACGTCATGTCGGTGATATGCAAAGTGATATTGTGCAGACATACCAACGAGCGAACGCATCGACATATTTACTCCAATCGATATCAGGAATACCAATTTATTAAATCGGAAAGTTTGTTCATCAACGAAAACGAGATAATCAACCCTGTCAAAAAGACCGACAGATCCGACACGCATCGACTTCGTCATCATCACGACGAAATCTACTGGCCGGTTAAGAAGGAAGCGATAGTGGAAGGTGATTTGGTCTTGGGTGCACTGATGATGGTCCATGAACGAGAAGATTCGGTAACCTGCGGTCCGATTATGCCTCAAGGTGGAGTTCAAGCTGTGGAGGCCATGTTGTACACGTTGGACAGGCTAAACTATGCTAAAGAGAAGTTGTTACCGAATATATCTCTTGGCGCGCATATCCTGGACGACTGCGACAAGGACACGTACGGCCTCGAGATGGCGGTGGATTTTATTAAAGGTAAGCTAGTATATATTGTTTTTTTTTATGTAAATTCACTGTATCATTTACTAATTTATACTGACCTATCAGTTTCTATATGTTGTTAAGTCAATTAAATCTTCATTTAATTTGCACAGTTGCAAATTTCGAAATTCAGAAATTATTTATTTCCACTCAGACCTGTGCAGTCAAGTGTCGGATATGGTCAAAATAGAAGCAAATTATAATGAACAACTTATCATTATCTATATGAATTAGTTAGTTACAACTAAAAAATCTTAAAAAGGTTGACAATTGATAACAGGTAGCAATAGCTACAACTTTTTTTTCAATATAATATAATTGATCCAGGTTAGGCGAGAATCAAAATAAACATCTAATGATATAGGAAAAAAGTGGTCTTTCCTGAAAGGATTTAAGCAAAAAACTTTTATGCTTTTTACAAAACTTCTGGATTCCTCCTGCGTCGGTTTTTGCTTAGTCAAAATTTCTGACGTTTCGCCAATCATCCTGTCGGCTTCTTCAGACGCAGGAAGAATCCATAAGTTTTGTAAAAAGCATTACCTGTGGAAATTTCTTTGAAAAATTAAAAAAACTTTTAGTTAGCTGGGCAATAAATGCATGTGCCGTAATTATACCGCATAACACAAGAAAGTGGGAACACTCTTTTAAACGGCTTGAGATAGCGGTTTGAAATTTGGAAGGGCTGAATATCTAATTTTTTGACAATATGTAGTCAATGGTTGCACTTCCGATTTGAGCGGAAAGGACAGTAAAATTTGAATTTTAAATGCCACAACCTATATTTTTTTGAATTTTTCTTTTCAAAATTTTCTTTCTCAAAAATTAAATAAAAAAAATAAATTTTTATTTGAAAATTGTGTCTAGGAGGCTGCGACTACCATAAATTATATTTACCGGGTCACCTGATCATGGGAAAAATTGTAAATAAAACTTTTCTTTGATTGTCTAATGGCAAATAGCATTTAATGTAATGATTTATGAATTTGAAAACCGGTACTTTCGTTCCAACATTCTGACACCAAAATTTTCAAAATCCGTTACAAAATAAGCTCACAGGAAGGAAGAAAACCCGATAAGTAGTAGTATATTATGCAAGTGCGGTACACGGCATTTGACTCACGTGTGTTTAATAAATGAGTGACTTAAAAAATTTACCGAACGTGTTGCATACTATACTTTTTCTACGACCGTTAGTTTTTGGGTACATTTTCGCAAAATAACACGAATACATTCATTGGCATGTCCGTCAGAATTGACAAAATTCAAAACGTGGGAAACATTTCTGAAAACATCCGATTGCTCCCAAACCCGTGCGGTAAAATCGCGGAAATATCCGAAGTGGCTCGGATCCGTGGGAAACGAAACTGCCGTGGTAAAATGACGCTTTCCGCACGCTAGATCGGTGTGTAATTAGGTATTTTACAGACGGGAGTAGAAAAATACATTTTTATAAAAACAAAATATTACTTAGGTGGCTTTGCTTCTATTCATCAAGTCGACATGACTGAAAATTCTGACAGTTTGTCGTGTTATCGATTGGGATTATCATGGAAAACAATAATCAATTTACAAATTGAGAAAACGTTGATATATTTCTGACATACGCAAATGCAGAAAAAACTTTCGACAGGCCCGTGCATTGTATGCAGCCCGCATGACAATTAATAGTAAATAGAAGCAAAGCCAGCTAAATAATATTTTGTTTTTATAAAAATGTATTTACTTATCTCCTTATTTCCTTCCTGTGAAGGAAGGGATTTTGAAAATTTTGGTGTCAAAACATTGCAAAGAAAGCATCGGTTTTAAAAAGTTTTTGGTCCCACTAGGGTGCTATCTGAAAAAACTAGGTTATCCTAAAAAATTAATAGATCATTACATTAAATGCTATTTGCCATTAGACAAGTAAAGAAAAGTTTTATTTACATTTTTTCCCATGCTCAGGTGACCCGGTAACTAGTATTTATGATGGTCTCAGCCTCCTAGACAACTTTCAAAAATTAAATAAAAAATGAGAAAAACCGTTTGATCGTATGTAGATTGATCCCCTGAATCCAAAAATGCAAGAAATGTCCGTTAAGCCATTTAAAATGCGAAAGTTAATGTCGTTTCCAGTCAAACCAGACGTGTAACGATTGACTACATATTGTCAAACAGTTAGCCTACATTAGCCTTTCAAAATTTCAAATCGCTATCTCCAGCCGTTTAAAAGTTAAAGAGTATTCCCACTTTCTTGTGTCATGCGGTATAACCAAAGCATTTATTGCCCAGCTAACTAGAAGTTTTTTGCTTAAATCCTTTCAGGAAAGACCACTAACTCTGTTCTTTCGGCATTTGTCATCAGCTTGAATTTAGGTAAATTGAATACTATTTTGGAACTATTTCTTCATACTTCAAGCTTGCTTCTATCAGAAGCACAAACGGCATCGTCAGCGAAAATAAATAGATAACTAGCAGCAAAAAGTTGAAGAATATCATTAAAAATGATGAGCAAAAGAGAACCCAACAAGCTCTCTTCAGGAAGTACATTTAAAACCACAATATATTCCACATATATGTTCATTAGCCCGAATTGAATAACTAAATTATATGTTAAGTACTACCACATTAAAATTTAAGACGTCAATAGCCCGCTGTAAAAGAATTTGACATTCTCCTTCGTCCTGTCGAATAGAAAAATTGCTAGTATTTTGTTTTACATTTATAAAAAACTGTGCTGCTAACCCTACATTTTGATATCTTTAACAACAAAGCGTACATCAAGTAATATATTAAATGTCAATATCGCTCTGCCAGTCAGAGTTAACGTCTAGTGTATCACGACTACGATGAAGAGGTTCCATTTTCCATCATTCTTTCTGGGTTTACCACGTGACATATTCGATTCCTCCAATTCCCATTTATCGAAATTTCGGGGTATCGGACTCTCGGAAGTCGATACTGGCGGACTAAACGTCGAGTGACTTCGACACGATGAAATGCGAGGCAGCGCAGCGTTTAAAATGGCAATAAATAGCCAAAGCGTGCGCGAATGGATCTGCAGTTAACAATGAATAATACGTCTGTTCGTACATATGCCGACCGCCCAATTTATTGGGTGCTGTTAGACTTCCCATCCACCGCGTCTTTGTATTAAAAAATGTCATTTATTACGCTCTCGCATATCGAAAACAAGCGAAAATAGCACGATTCTTCCCATTGTATTCCAACTCTGCCGGAAACGGAAATGTGATATATGTAGAGGGATACTGGAATATACAGGGTAGCTCACTACTGGATTCTTTGTCAGGAAGCCGTAAATGGGTATTTGATTAAAACACGTAATTATTCGATCATAAAGTGCAGACATCCTTTACTATTGAACTACTCAACGTAACTATGTTTCTAATCTAACTAAGCCTATAATCGTAGCATCTTGCCAAACCACAACAATAATTCTCTTCTATTAACTTTTATATCTCCAGGGAGCTTATTTTATCGAAAGTTTGCGAACTAATTGCAGCATTTTAATGGATGCAAAAACTTGGTTTATTCACACATCGCAATGCATGACGTCACACATAGTTGATTTCTACATCCATTGGCTACGTCTTGCCTATAATTATTTCCAAAGCTTTTCTTTTATTTCGTATTTTTTGTAAAAAGTTATGGCCACGTTCTTGGTTTTATTTACTTGTATAAAATAAATTAATTAATTTTAATTAATTAAACTTAGTCTAATAATGCTACATTTAATTAAGGGTTTGAATAAAAATGCCGTCATTGTTGTAATGATTTCGTCCATTTTGTAATTCTTATTTGTTGTGTTTCAGTTTTTTTTTCTTTCCCTGATTTTTACATTCTAAACTAAAATTTTCTATTTTGATTTGATGTGCTAATTAAAGTGCATAACAGCAAAATTATCTTTAAGTGTCTGCCAAACATCAGATTAACCAAATTAATATACAATAAAATGAAAATAGCTATACGGAAAAACATAGCAACGGAATATTATTATGCACAGGATCACAAAGAAAATATTGTGTCTTATTGCTATTCTTATGCTCCCGTGTACTGCATAAACATTTATCGACAAGTGACTAGAATGTAATCAGAAGCTAACATTAAAAAACCAAACCCAAAACCCAAAATGGAGTCTTTGTATAATGTTGCAATTGCAGGGGTAATTAAACAGGGTGGATTACTAAAAGCTTGACATATAAATTGCAAGGTGATTCTCCGTATTTCAATTTTTAAAACCTAATTTGCATGCAATAGTGGGACGTGTTTAATAACGTAATAATTTTAGAGATGGGTGGATAATCGGGGCATTAATTATTCTATAAATAAAAAATGAAAATAGATAAATTGTAATAAATATTGTTACTTAAAAAAACTGCCATTAACAATATAAATTCATTTATCAATTTTAGTCGTCATGTTCCGAGTGGTCAAATGAATAGTTGTTGGAGTGCAAGCAAACAATAAAGTCTTCAGTGTTTCTTAACATATTATCAACTGCCCACATTCTGTCTTCTATTTCAATCATATATTCGACGCACTTACTCAATTTTTCACAATCCAGTGACTTTATTTATTTTTGCAATAGGGTTTTAACGTCATTCATTGTAAAAGTGTTGTTATGCCTTTCTAGAAACCCTTTTACTTGGAGTTTTACACTGATATGACAGAAGGCAAAGGCAAATTTCGTGAAAATAATTTTATTACAAATTTTAAATATCCGGTAACCCCTTTTTCAGCATATCTTTCTAAGATAAAGTAAGTCAATTGAAGATGTTATTATTTTGCATTTTCGTGAGTGGTTGTCCAAGAACAAAATAATCTTGTATTTACTTATTTACTATTCGTTTAACAATTTTTTATAAATCTAACAACCTTGTGCTACTTTATAATGCAGATAAGGCTTCTTAAGAAAACCATACTTATTTAAAAATATTAGATCAATGCATACTCTACAAAACCGATAAGACGAACTATCTCTTTACTAAGCTTTATTG